GCGTTCTCAATAAGCATCATTAGAGGAGTAATAGTATCCAGAAAAGCATCGCTTACATGGTCTACGATAGCACGTCGCAAATGTCGCCGCAAATCTTTAGCTTTATGCCCCAAATGGACCATCGCTAAGTCCAAATCTTCCGAGGGCTCGGCACGTCCACACTAGAGAGATGGCAATGTTATTTCAATTTAGTTTCTTGTTCTTTTTTTGATTGTTGTATTTAGATTTTTTTTTAAAAAATGCATTAAAAATTTTATAGTTGTCGAATTGGGATAAAAGCAAACATTTTTCTCATACTCAGCCAGCAAATCTTGTAATGCTTGTCGCAAATTATTGCATTCGTCAACAGTCCTTTTCTTTCTTTCATCTCTCGTGTTTTCTGAATCTACAATAGCAGCTACACCGCTTACAATCTTTTCTAAGAGACCTTCAAGCTCTGAACGATGCAAATGATCCTTGTAAGAGCTTGGTTCCATATACGCTCGAGCCTAGAAAAAAATTTTTTAAAATATTGCATCGAAATGACTTCAGTTCCACCAGCATGAAATCTCGACTGATCACAACAAATTCTTATAAAAACAAACTTGAAAATGATCAAGCTGTTGTATAAGATCACCAACACGACCGTGATACGAAAGACAGACATCTCTGTTTGTTGCACAACCTTGCAAGATATCGGCCATGGCTTGTAAGGCTAACGACATTTGCGTATGTGCAAAGTCACGATTTAAGCGCACCTGATCCACTTCCGGATGGCGTATGTATGCCTGAAAATAGTTAACTGACATATTCGAATCTTGCAATGCATCCTCTTGCAATGTAATTTGGTTCTCGTGTCAAAGTATGTAGTTTAATCATGATGATCGCATGCAGTCATTATTTCATCTCAACACGATACACAATTATTTAATCTCGATATACAACCATCAGCTAAAATCAAAACCATAAAAGGACTAATTACCGTGGAGGAAGTATGCATGATCATATTGTTCAGCTTAAGCCACGCTCGAGCTGCCTGCAGATCATCTTGCTCTGCTGGATTTCGTAGTTCTAGGATACGTCGTTTAATACCTCCATCCAGCTGTTCCAAACAAGAGTTTAACGACTCAAATAATTCCGATAGCTCCTGCTTCGATTCAGCTGCAACCATAAGATCCATTATGTCTTGAGCCTGAAATTAAAAGATCAGACTTGGCAGGCCAGGGAATAAATATGCATTATTATTTTACATGCTTATGAATGTAGCACTTAATTCCTGCATTACGATCTCATCAAAATTCCTTCGTCGCTATACCTGCTTTATTCAGAAAAAAACCCCTGTATAACACCAATTTATTTTTTAGAATATTTGAATGATTGAAAGCCATTTATTTTGCATATATTTATTCATTCCTTGTTAAAATGCATAGTCTGTTCTACTGCGCACTATTTGTAACTAAAGACTGTTAACAATTCTATCCTAATCTCTAATACGAGAAAATAGTCACAGAGAAAAAGAAGTGAAAGCCGTTAGAAAATGGAAGCCTTCTGAATTAGTTTCCTCTAGAAAAGTTCAATTTAGCGAATAATCTGGAAAATTAGATTCATACCTTCGCAATTTGAAGAAGCATTACATGTACATCTACCATATCAGCCATAATAAGCATTCGTGCTACTGCATTCAATAGATTTCTAGCTGCTCGTATTGCATGAGCACGTCGATCCGTATTACTCGTTTCCTCCACAAAATCATGTCCTCTATTAACCATTTCGACACCTAAATCCATGTGAAATTTCAGCACCTACATCATACATTTTGGAACTTAATGATTAGTTCAGTCATGGACAAGAATGGTTATGTGAGGTGCTTATTTTTCAACAAATGGAGAATTTAAGATCTGTAAAGTCATTGAAACTATCAATAGCAATACGGAATAATATTAATTTAAACATCATACCCAGAACTGAATTTTGGTTTCATTTGTCTTTTTCTTTGACAAACTCAGAAGAGAGCGAAAAAGAATTTAAAGAGTTGGCTTCTCTTTCATCCTATTAACCAACCTCCTACATTTCCTGAATACTTGTAATTTTTAGTATTTCCTCTAGTAATTCAAACTAAATATTAGGTTTACCAGCATGTTCCACATTCTGCAAAGTCTCATTCAATTGTTCCAAAACATTTCCAACAGCAATTGGACATTCAGCAATGGCTGAACGCCCTATTTCCACAAAATTACGTACAGTTCGTTCAATAGCAGCCACCAACACAACTCCACTCTTTCCGGTGCTTTTTAAGGAATGCATGGTGTTTGGATTGGTTAAACTTGTTACCTATAACAATGATTAGTCACAGCTAAGAAATTCCAGTTTTGTATCATATATATTATTAATGTGAAATCAATGCATATAAGAGTTAGCAATCTTTATACTACATCATAATTTACCATTTTCTTTAGCACTAAGTCAAAAGTGCTTAAACATGCTACAGCTCTAATGAGCTAATAGGATCGAATAATTTGGGAGCTGGAAATCATCAGAAGGCTCAAATATGGTCCTATCAAACATGCATCACTAACACAGACCAATCAGATCTTGTCAATATACATACATTCATAATTCAGTAGTGTAACTTGTTGTAGATTTGATTTCAAAAAGAAAAAATTACCTGTTGTATCAGTGGTGCAATCAACTGTTCAACAGTTCTCGTCTTCACTCCATCAATATTAATCTCTGCTTGAATACTTGCCATTGATACCATTGTATTTCCACTGCTCTACTTCTCCTAGTATCACCTTTTTGTAATCTGCGATGACTTCTTTTTCAAAAACCAGATACAAACTCCCCACATATTGTGTCAAAGAGGAAAATGACACTTATTAAACAAAGATACGTATAATATTACAAAATCGTAAATCCTAATGCAACTGGAGCCATTATCTCCAGTTTACCAAAGTTCAACACGTTCTTAATTTCTGTTCCAGTGCTATCAACGACCAGTGACTCGTCGTCACCTCGCGACGATCGTATCGATGGATATAATGGTCAACTGTGAAATATCAGCCGGCCTATTTCAAGTGACGAAGGGTCATCAAGTCTCCGTTGCAACGTGAAATTCAGGTGGTCTTGTCGCGTCGTCCGGCATACAATCTTAATGAGGCGGTTTTGTTGAGTCTCTAAAAACCGAAATACTACTGGAAGACATGAAAAATCCTAGTTAGTTACGTATCATTTACTTTTGTTGTTCGTTATGCAAATGTTCATATAAATAGTTCATCATACATTCTTATTAGAGCTATTGATGTCAATCGTACATCTGGTGATTTATGAAGTCGGCTTTAATGAATTTCATTGCAGATGGCTTGATAAAGAGATAAGTCACTTATTCAATTTCTATTTATTTTAGCAATCATTTTAATGAAATGAAATAATCGAAATAATTTAACAGCCATTTCTTCATTTGTTATTTTCTTCAATATTAAAATGTGGAGTAGATTGAATTATCATTCGATTTTATGGTTACTCACATGAAAGTAATGTTGCCAAGGAGTTCAACCTGATTTTAGTCATTTTAAAATTAAATATTTTCAAACAATTGTTTTTCCGAAATTTCCAACAAAAGATTGTTATCCTTTACTTTTTTGTTATCTTTTACATCACTTTTTTATTAACCGTTTTCTTGACTTCGATCTTAAAAATGTGAAGAATAATAAAATCACAAAACAAAAGAACTGAATCGGTCGAAGGCGTTAAAATATGAAACAGAATACACTCAAATATTTTATTGCCCGAAATTTAAAAAGCATAATTTCATCGAAAAGCAATATTTTACATACATTACGGTGGATATAGTTTAAAAAATAATAAATTGATGAAAACAAAAAGATCAAATTAACCAATTTAAATAAAAGTATTCAATTTTTGTTTCGATTACTCGAAAATCAATATTAATACAAATATTTTAATCGATATAATTTAATCCAATGGATCGTTTAACGCCTTGAAAATCTGTTTTGTGGTGCTGAGGATATGTGCGAAAAATGATTAAAAATATTAATGACAATTAATTTGAATTTTAATAATTTCAAATAATTCCAGGCTTCAAATTTTTATAATAGCAATGTTTCATCGTTTTTTGGTGACAATTACATATTGGATTATTGTGTATTCACTTCGAATGATTTCATTCTATTAAGAATTGAAAAGATTTGGTGACAAATTCTGAATTGTTATGCAATGAATAACAATTAATCACGTTTGCATAAAACTATTCATTGTGGCAAACCAAAAATTTTAGACTGCAGTGAAATCAAAATTATTATGCGAAATAATTAGGCTTTTGTGATTACATATGGTCATAGATCATACGGCTTACCGGAATGCATAAAAACGGTCCTCTCTGTTAATGCGACAAATATCACTTTATTAGATTGGTTGCCTGCTAAAAATACTTTTCGAATACAATACGACCATCGCATAACTGATTTCCACATCCCATAACTTCTCGATTATGCATCTGTCATATTATTTGGTAACGCTCGTTTTGCCGTTATACGTCGCGCAAATAACGGTATGTGAATAAGAAACTGTCTCTCAGTATAGAAGTTTAATGTTTGCAAAGCTTTCATTTTAACTAAGAACAAAAACAGCTGCTTTCTGTGAAGGAAAATTAACCTTTTCATTTCTTGTCTTTTTCCCTGTGACTTCTAAATCAATGTTTTGCGATCAGATCGCATAGCAAATAATAAAACGAAACGCAAAAAACTTGCACGTCGAATCAACGAATCATTTCGGTCTGTTAATCCTTCTGTGTCAAATCAACAGCACAATATAGCGCAAAATGACACTTTGTTTCAAATTATTGTTGCAATTCCTCGGGCTATTTTTAAAATACAGAGGCAAATTGTTTTCACTCAAAGATTCTACAGCGATATCGGCACAGTGCTTCTGATTATTATTTTTGTTCAAAAATCACAGGAGAACAGTAATTAAATCAATGAACAAATCATTTTGGATTATTTCAGATGTCAAATGAAAGCGATCAGCCAATGCAAGCAGAACTAGGAAATGATGGCAAAATAAGAACTATGGTTAATGACAGTAAAACAAACAAAAAATGGTTCAAATGTAGCGAATGCGATAAGGAATTCAGTCGTGCAGATAATCTGAGGCGCCATAAGATGATACATACCGATGAAAAAAATTACAAATGTGAGATATGCGACAAAGTATTCAAACGGTTCGACAGAGTGACGGAACATAAATTGACGCACACGGAAGAACGACCATTCGAATGTAAAATGTGCAATAACACTTTCAAACAGCGCCGCCATGTGGTAAATCATATGAAGACACATACGGACAAGAAGACACAAAAATGCAACATATGTCATAAAGTATTCTATCGGCTTTCAGATCTGAAGGCACATAATTTGACGCACGGAAACGAACGAATATTCAAATGTCATATGTGCAATAGACCATTCAGATGGTCTAACAATCTGAAGAAACATATACTGACACATGAAAAAAATTTACTACCATTCAAATGTAAAGAATGTGGTAGAAATTTCGCTCAGAAATATTATTTGAATAGACACATGAAAATACATAAAAGTACAAGTGAAAAGCTTTCCTCTACAGTAAGCTCCTTAATGATATCGATACCAGATATCATTGACACAGAAATAACAATAAGGTAAGTAATTAGATTCGCAGGACTATAAATTATCGCATTGTGTTAGCTTAAGTTATACTTATACTATTTGATTTTACCGTTTGTGCTTTGTTCATTATTTCCTGATTGAATGTAAAAATTTGAATTTTGTAAAACTTTAAATTTTGAAGATTTTGTATTAAGTTATGATGTAAAGATTTGAAACTTTCAACAGTGGCTGAATCTATCTTTAACACAAAAATTGCTATTATTATCACTGTACGCTACAACTATACGTATTACTATACGTAGCTTGATTGTTTACTATTATTATTAAGTAAGCAATAATATTTTTCCATTTTACTACAAATTAAATTTCGAAAATGAAAATAACAAAACACATTTTACAACAATGATAATTGATAAACATATCAAGCAGCATTTTACATTGTGATCGCAAATAAACGAAATCTTTGAATTATTGTTTGATAATTTTTTGTTGTGATAGCTTGATCTTTTGGAATAATCTCCGCCAAATTGGAAGCATGAATGAATTTGAACGTTTTTGCAAAGACATATCTGAATGATATGATTGTAATGATTTCTGCTTTATCATAATTTCATCGAATGAAAATATTACAGATCAGAATTTCTAAGTTTAACGGTAAAAAACAGATCTCAAAGTTTTCATTATCTACATAATATCGCTCTTTTGTTATTGGCATTACTTTCAGGATATTGAGAAAGAAAACAAACTGAGCAATTGAATACTGACTTATAATGGCAAACTAACTGTCAACATTGATATGCTCAAAAGATCCACAAACAAAGAGGTCAAAGATGAATTCGCCCAAATACAATTGTATAATGCATACAATGGCGGCTTTTTGTCGAATTTCCGTTGATATATTCTATGCAAAAGTATTTTCATCAATTTTTCTTCGTACCAAAAAAGTATGACAACAATTAATTCCGAATTTCATCAACGTATTTTATCCAACAGAAGTGTTAACTTAATATATCAGCATCCATTGTGGCGTAGAAGAAAATTTTGCATCATCAAATATCACTCATTTTTGTGATTTAAATTGAGAAATTTTAGAGCATGAAATCTGATTTCGGTCATTTTAAAATTAAATATTCACAGAAAATTGTTTTTCCGGAATTTGCAACAAAAGATTGTTATCCTTCACTTTTTTGTTTTTATATCACTTTTTTATCATCCGGTTTCTGGACTTCGACCTTAAAAATGTAAGTAATAATAAAATCATAAAGCAAAAGAACTGAATCGGTTGTAGGCGTTAAAATATGAAACAGAATTCACTCAAATATTTTCTTGCCCGAACTTTAAAAAGCCTAATTTCATCGAAAAGCAATATTTTAGACACATTAAAGTGGTTAAAGTTTAAAAAAATAATAAATTAATGAAAACAAAAATATCAAATTAATCAATTTAAATGAAAGTATTCAATTTTTATTTCGATAATTCGAAAATCAATAATAATACAAATATTTTATTCGATAAAATTTATACCAATGGATCGTTCAACGCCTTGAAAATCTGTTTGGTGGTCCTAAGGATTTGTATGAAAGATGGTTTAAAATTTTAATGGTAATTAATTTGAATTTTAATAATTTCAAATAATTCCAAGTTTCAAATTTTTATAATAGCAATGCTTCATCGTTTTTTGGTGGCAATTACATATTGGATTATTGTGTTTTCACTTCGAATGATTTCATTCTATTCCAAATTGAAAAGATTTGGTGACAATTCTGAACAGCGATGCAAAGAATAACAACTAATCGCGTTTGTGTGAAACTATTATTATTCATTGTGGCAAACCAAAAATTTTAGAGTGTAGTAAAATCAAAATTTTATACGAAAAGATTAGGCTTTTGTGATTACATATGGTCACAGATCATACGGCTTACCGGAATGCATAAAAACGGTTCTCTCTATTAATGCGACAGATATCACTTCATTGGATTGGTTGTCTGTTAAAAACGATATTCCATCACTTCTCGATTATGCATCTGTTATATTATTTAGTAGTGATCGTTTTGCCGTTGTGCGTCGCGCAAATAACGGTATGTGAATAAGAAACTGTCTCTCAGTATAGAAGTTTAATGTTTGCAAAGCTTTCATTTTAACTAAGAACAAAAACACCTGCTTTCTGTGAAAGAAAATTAACCTTTTCATTTCTTGTCTTTTTCCCTGTGACTTCTAAATCAATGTTTTGCGATCAGATCGCATAGCAAATAATAAAACGAAACGCAAAAAACTTGCACGTCGAATCAACGAATCATTTCGGTCTGTTAATCCTTCTGTGTCAAATCAACAGCACAATATAGCGCAAAATGACACTTTGTTTCAAATTATTGTTGCAATTCCTCGGGCTATTTTTAAAATACAGAGGCAAATTGTTTTCACTCAAAGATTCTACAGCGATATCGGCACAGTGCTTCTGATTATTATTTTTGTTCAAAAATCACAGGAGAACAGTAATTAAATCAATGAACAAATCATTTTGGATTATTTCAGATGTCAAATGAAAGCGATCAGCCAATGCAAGCAGAACTAGGAAATGATGGCAAAATAAGAACTATGGTTAATGACAGTAAAACAAACAAAAAATGGTTCAAATGTAGCGAATGCGATAAGGAATTCAGTCGTGCAGATAATCTGAGGCGCCATAAGATGATACATACCGATGAAAAAAATTACAAATGTGAGATATGCGACAAAGTATTCAAACGGTTCGACAGANAGATGTCAAATGAAAGCGATCAGCCAATGCAAGCAGAACTAGGAAATGATGGCAAAATAAGAACTATGGTTAATGACAGTAAAACAAACAAAAAATGGTTCAAATGTAGCGAATGCGATAAGGAATTCAGTCGTGCAGATAATCTGAGGCGCCATAAGATGATACATACCGATGAAAAAAATTACAAATGTGAGATATGCGACAAAGTATTCAAACGGTTCGACAGAATGACGGAACACAAATTGACGCATGCGGAAGAACGACCATTCGAATGTAAAATATGCAATAAAACTTTCAAAGTGCGCCGCTATCTAGAATGCCATATCAAGAAGACACATACGAACGAAAAGATAAAGAAATGTAACATATGTCACAAAGAATTCTATCGGCTTTCAGATCTGAAGACACATAATTTGACGCACAGAAACGTACGAATATTCGAATGTCACATGTGCAATAGACCATTCAAATGGTCAAGCAATCTGAACAGGCACAAATTGACACACGGAAATGTACAACTACTCAAATGTGAAATGTGTGATAAAAAATACAGTCAGAAACGTAATTTGGTTAGACACATGAAAGTGCATAAAAGTTCGGATGAAAAGCTCTATTCTGTACTAAACTCTTTAATGATATCGATAGCAGACGATATCATTGACACAGAAATATTTATAATGAAAATAATTACATTCACCGGACTATAAATTATTGTATTGTGTTGGCTTAAGTTATACTTATACTATTTCATTTTACCGTTTGTGCTTTGTTCACTATTAACTGATGAAATGTAAAAATTTGAATTTTGTAAAACTTTAAACTTTGAAGATTTTGTATAAATTTATGATGTAAAGTTTTGAAACTTTCAACAGTGGCTGAATCTATCTTCAACACAAAAATTGCTATTACTATCCGTATTACTATACGTAGTTTTAATGTTTACTATTATTGTTAAGTAAGCAATAATATTTTTCATTTCACCAAAAATTAAAATTCGAAAAAATATAACAAATGAAAATAACAAAGCACATTTTACAACAATGATAATTGATAAACATATTAAACAGCATATTACATTGTGATCACAAATAGACGAAATCTTAGAATTATTATTTGATAATTTTTTGTTGTGATATAACATAACATTTAATCATAGTTAGAACCAAAAAAGAAAATTAAACCAAAAAAGATAGCGCTAAAATTATATTTGTTTTTTTAGCGATATTAATTTTTACCTGGCCAATTAAACGATCTTTCATTTTCTCTTTCATTTTTCTTCTTTAGAAATTTGCAAAATGTTTGCGGTAAGTTAAATGCTAATGATAAGATGCAGAAGACAATTTGAGCAGAAAAATATTATTGGCGACTGATAGATAGGTTTATTAAAGAGGTCATTTCAAAGGAAACTTCAAAAATGATACTAGAATGTCAAAAATACCCTTAATTAAAATGACAACGGTTGATGAATTATAACAATGTTATTAGAATGTTCAAAAAATACTTTTAATTAGAATGACCAATAGCAACGGTGATGAATTGTAACGATAAATATGCCTAATTACTACTGCCTTGACAACCAAATCAATTATGATGATGTCATACAACGGATCGCTATGGAAATGAAACGATTTGTTGAAATTGTTAGCTTTTGCTATTCATTGAAATAATTTAATCGATTCATTCATCCAATTCATCCATTCTTAACCTTTACCATTGTTAGAAGTTAAATGCTAATGATTAGATGCAGAAGACATCTTATCTGCTCAAATTCTGCTCAAATTGTCTTCTGTATCTTATCATTAGCATTTAACTTACCGCATTCATCCATTGTTAGAATTATTGCCATATTAAAAAAAGAATCAAATCCGATGAAGTTTTTGGTAGAAAAATAACTGTCATTAAGCATTTCCTTCCATTTAAGAATCAATAGTTATCCTATAAACAGTAAATCGTGATTGCCAGGGCAATATTCTGATAACTTACTCCTCTACCGATCTCTCGAATGAAGGAAAATATCCTTATAATAGGTATGATGATTGTATTCCTCGTTATTCATTTCTGTTGTGAAATCTCAGGAAAGGAATTTTCAGGATTTATAAATTTTTTATTTTCCCTAACCGTTTCTTTATCTATAAATATCCTGCTGTTATGAATTTTGTGTCGAAATACGATCAATTTTGATGCGATGGAATACGTTCTACAACATAATACCGTAGCCGATACTACAATAAATCGTGCTACAATCACTAATCTACGAACAACAGCAATCGTTTTAATTGGATTATTTGCCATTTTTTCCATTCTTCTAAATATAATCCTATTGGTTACGATACTCTTAAGGTAATTTCAATTTATATTTTCGTTAAGATTTGTTGTTTGAAACGAAATGACACATTTAAAATAACTTCAAAATAACTATATGAGACCAAAAAATTATGCAGTCATTTTCAACGAAGAAAAATCTGGATAATAAATCATTTTTATCGTTATTCAAACTTAATTCCATGAGCAATAGAGAGAGAGAGAGAGAGAGAGAGAGTTTAGTTTATTTTAAGATTAGAAAAGAGCAAAATTAGAAAAGTCAGAAAAGTTAGAAAAATAATTCGTTTAGAAAAGTAATCCGATAATGTGATAGTATTAGAAGAAATGATTATTGTTATCAATTATTTTTGATTCTATATCAATCAAAGTTATTGCCACATTTTGATATTATTGATTGCAGTCGAAAACTTCGTTCAATTCAGCTTTTTATATTGTTCTGTAATTTGACTGTATTGAATATATTTGATATAACATTCGGTATGTTCATTCCAATTTTATTTATTATCAATGATAATTCGTTTTCCAATATGACATTTTGTCGTTGGAATGCAACTCTTGAACAGGTACAATCTAATATCTTACTATTAGAACCTCGATAGAAAATAATAAGAAAGGAATATATTATCGTGATGTGCGGGATATATTCCCTGAAGATATATTCCGTGGATAATATCATCATTGTATGATTGATTGCTAAAGTTGCTAACAGTTATTTCACAAATAGTTTATAGTGCAAAAGTTTTGCAAATTAATTTTTTTATTTCGGTATTTCCATTACGACAAATTTTGAAATTAATTTTATTTGATATTTAATTAATTGAAAATTTGAAGTTTAGTAATGATCAAATATTAAGCTGTTGTAATATTCGGCTAAAACATAATTCCTTATGATATTCATCAAATTTTTGTTTCACTTTCCATAATCATTACACATCGATCATTGTCATCAAATATTTTAGAAATTAAAATTTTGAAATTATAATTATTATCATACTGTAAGAGGCAATACATTTTGCATTTTAATTTTTAATATTCTAAATCTTTTTAAAGCCGAATATTTTTCGAAAATTTCAAATACTGTTTTCTTCTATATTTCTATTTCTACATTATTTTAAATTTATTCCATATCTGTCATGTATCATTTCTAGCTAATTTGCATTAATGACCATATATAATTTGCATTAGTGACCATATATAATTATATATATATGATATAATTAATTTAAAAGTTTGCAGGATTTTATTTGCATAATTGTAGCCAATCAGTAATAGAACATGATATTGCAGTTTATTAATTTGGAATTGCTAATGAGTATAATGTTAATGGCTATTGAACGTTCTATCGTATTATATTTTCCAAATCAGTTAATTTTCAAACGTTGGCGAACATTAGCCATTATTATTGCTTTATGGACGATAGGCATTTGTTTAGCTGTACCTATGCTTACACATAATATACCTGTCAGACCTTTCAAATTTCGATTTAATTGTAATATCAGCAGGTTAGTTTTTTTTAAATTAGTTTTTGATTTTGATACAGTAGAAATATCATATTTAAGTTTGTAAGTTTTTTTAATTTTTAATATATTGTAATATTTTAGCTATTGAGGCTTAATTATAATTATATATTTTAATTTTTAATATACTATGAAATTTCGAATATTTATTCCTTATTGTTTTACAGGAAAGTTCCAATCTTATATCCGATAGTAAATATATTGATTTATAGTAGTTGTATCATTATTATATTGATTTGTTTCGCGGCTCTTTTGTCGCATAATAATCGATACAAAAATCAATCACCACCGATGGGATATACATTTGAGATTCATCATGATAATATAAATTTTTCAAAACTCGTTCTACTTCTTATCATTTTATTTATCTTACTCAATGGACCATATATTATATTGAATCTTTTCATACAGGTAATTTTTTTTAATATTCAAATGCTGGAACTTTAACTTAAAAAAAGAAATGAATACGTTGATAGTAAATTTTGGGAATGTATACTTAATTAAGTTCATTAATGAATTTCAAGAAATTTTATTGTTACTATTTTAATTATCGTTTATCCTAACATAAAGATAGTATTTCATATTTTTACCTTTTTTTGAATATAATTCTTGCCAGTCATATATATATATATATTTCTTTATAAAGGCCGTAAAATTACTTGATGATATGAATGGATCAATTATTTAGGATTATTAATCGAATAAAAACTGACACATTTAGGTTAATGATTTCAGATTCAAAATAGTACTGAAATGATTACCAATGATTATGTTTTTAAAATACCGCAAGATGGAGATATCATGTTGAATTGGTTACGTTATATGTATCCGTTATTAGCACCAATTTTGGTATGCAGTATTTTGCTAAATACTAATAGAAAAAAGTTTAAAAAATTTTTATTAATTCTGAATTACTTCATATGATTCATAGATATGCGTATCATGCGCTGAAATATGGTTTAACATACAACGATGCGTATTTTGTCGTGGATCGGAAGCGGTTCCAATTCGACGATATACAAATGAACAAGGTTTATCGATATTTAGGAAAGAATTTTGATAAATTATTTCCCACAATTTTTTTCTTCTTTTCTCTTTGTTAAATTAAATTTTATTTTGGTAACAATTTTGATCGATATGTTTCGAATAAAAATTAGAACTTTACAAATAGCTTGATGATAACCTTAAGTGATAAGTGATGATAACCTTAATTGATAAATAACATTTTACATTTAGCTAATTAACAACTAATACTTCAGATTTAGGGATTTATTACATCAAATTAATTCAATACTGATTTCTTCTTTGTCTTAGTCTATATCATACATTAAATTATGGATACTCTTCCGCTAACTTATCAACATTTATTGCAAGATAAGGATTTTGTCTGATAATAACTATTTAAAAAAAATTCATAAAAATTATGAGCATAATTTTTGGCAAAAATAATTTTAAAAAATTCACGCTAACTAGTGCATATCTGTTGATACCAATTTTACAGAAAATAACTGCTGATGATATTTCAAATGATCGACACACATCTGAATCTATCATCGTATCCGATAATTTTCCATTCAATTTCATCTTCCGGTGAACAAAGCACAATGGCAGAAAATATACAAATATAATCTAAGCCAACATAATACAATAATTCATAGTCCTGCGAATATAATCATCTTCGTTATTAATATTTCTGTGACAGTAATATTTTCCGCGATCGATGTAATTAAGGAGCTCATTGTAGAATAGGGCTCTTCACCCGAATTTTTATGCGCTCTCATGTGTCTTTTCAAATTACATTTCTGAGTGAAATTCCTACCACATTCTTTGCATTGGAATCGTACGTTTCCGTGCGTCAATTTGTGTCTCCGCAGATCTTTAAAGTGTTTGAATTCTTTATTGCATACGTTGCATTTCTGTGTCTTTTCGTTCGTATGTGTTATCATATGGCCTCCTAGATGGTGGCGCTCTTTGAAAGTTTCATTGCACATTTTACATTCGAATCGTCGTTCTTCCTTGTGCACCAATTTGTAATCGGTATGTATCATCGCCTTATGGCGTTTCAGATTGCCTGCACGACTAAATTGCTTACAGCATTCGCCACATTCGAACAGCTTTTCGTTTGCTTTACAATCATTATCCACCGCCCTTATTTTGCTATCATTTCCTAGTCCTGCTTGCACTGGCTGATTGCTTTCATTTGATACCTGAAATAATCCAAATTGAATAATTGTTCATAGATTTAACTATTGTTTTGTGTGATTTTGAACAGTATTTATCAGAAGAATTGTGCTAATATCATTGTAGAATCTTTGAATGGTAATATGTCACTTCCATATTTTAGAAGTACCGAATTGCAATAATAATTTGAAACAAAGGGTCAATTTTACTATACTTTTGGACAATTAATTTGAGACAGAATGATTAACTGAACGATCGATGTAACAAAAATGATTCGATGATTCGATGTGCAAGTTTTTTGCGTTTCGCTTTATATGCTATGCGATATGATCGAAAAACATTGACTATTTAGAAGTAACAGGGAAAAAGATACGAAATGAAAGGATTAATTATCCTTCACAGTAAGCAGCTGTTTTTGTTCTTAGCTAATATCAAAAACTTGGCAAACATTTAATTCCTATATTGAGAGGCAATACCTTATTCACATACCGTTATTTGCGCGACGCACAACGGCAAAACGATCACTACCAAATAATATAACAGATGCATAATCGAGAAATGATGGGATATCGTTTTTAGCAGACAGCCAATCCAATAAAGTGATATTTGTCGTATTAACTGAGAGGACCATTTTTATGCATTCCGGTAAGCCGTATGATCTATGACCATATGTAATCACAAAAACCAAATCTTTTCGTATAATAATTTTGATTTCACTTTACTCTAAAATCTTTTGTTTGCTATATTGAATAATAATAAATCCATGGAAATGCAATTATAGCTGACAACACAGTTTAGATTGTCACCAAATCATTTCAACTCGGAGGAATGAAATCATTCGTAGAGTATGTACAATAATATAATGTTATAATCATGGCTAACTTTGTAACTAAAAAGTAAAAGATTAGTTGAAAAGTGAAAAATGTTTCATTCTTCACTTACTGTCAACATTGATATGCTCAAAAGATCCACAAACAAAAAGGTCAAAGATGAATTCTTCCAAATGCAATTGTATAATGCATACAAATGTATAATGCATACTTCAAATAAATTTTCATATTTCATTTGCAGAATTTCCGTTAATGTATTCCATGCAAAAATATTTTCGTCAACTTTTCCTTGTACCAAAAAAGTATGACAACAATTAATTTCGAATTTCATCAACGTATTTTATCCAACAGAAGTGTTAACTTAATATATCAGCATCCATTGTGGCGTAGAAGAAAATTTTGCATCATCAAATATCACTCATTTTTGAGATTTAAATTGAGAAATTTTAGAGCATGAAATCTGATTTCGGTCATTTTAAAATTAAATATTCACAGAAAATTGTTTTTTGGAATTTGCAACAAAGGATTATTATCCTTCACTTTTGTTATCTTTTACATCACTTTCTTCTGATTGGTTTTCTTCAGTATGACTTTTGAAATACGAAAAACAATAAAATCACCAGCTGAATCTTTGAAGGCGTAAAAATATGAAACCGACTATACTTAACTATTCTATTGCCAAATTTAAAAAGCCTAATATCATCGAAAAGCAATAATTTATGTACATTATAGTGCTTATAGTTAATAATACTCATAGTTATAGTTAATACTTATGATGCCAGCTTTCATTAATATTTATCATTTATCATAAAAAGTGATAAATTGACAAATTATCATTTCTAATGACAAATGCTAAATAAATTGAATAAAATTTTAAACCAATGTAATCGATCTTTAAATTTCTATTTTCATTCATTTTTGAATAACCAAAACAAAAATTGTATACTTTTATTGAAATGAATTGTTATAAATATTTTGCCTTTATTAATTCAACAATAATTTTCCACACTTAGAATTTTTTCAGTGATCGAATTATTCTAAAAATTGTTGAGCAACTACAATTTTCGCCAGAAATTCATTTTACCGATAATGAAATGGTATAAATTCTGTCTCTTCTTTATTTCTTTATTCGAATCATAAGTTTTTAAATAATATAAGAATTAATATCAAAAAATACCAAACAATCATTCAAAGATTTCATTCACTTCCGATCACAATCTATTACGTTGTTTAATATGTTTATCAGTGCTGTACAATTTGTCCATAACCACTTTTTACATTAAATCACGCAAAGAACAAATGTCATAAAAACAGTACAAATATAATTTAAGCCAACACAATACAATAATTTATAGTCCTGCGAATGTAATTATATCCCTTATTGATATTTCTGTGTCAATGATATCTGATATCCATATCACTGAGGAGCTTATTGTAGAATAGAGTTTTTCATCCGAACTTTTATCCACTTCCATTTGTCTATTCAAATTTCTTTTCTGAGTGAAATTCTTACCACATTCTTTACATTCGAATGACCGTATGTTTCCATACGTCAATATGTGCTTCCTCAGATTCCTGGATACTTTGAATGTTTTATTACACATGTAACATTTGATTGGTCGTTCGTTTCTGTGTGTCAAATTGTGTTTCTTCAAATCACCGGACCGTTTAAATGCTTTATTGCACACATAACATTTGAATGGTCGTTCGTTTCTGTGCGTCAAATTGTGTTCCTTCAAATCGTTCAACCGTTTGAATGTTTTATTGCACACGTAACATTTGAATGGTCGTTCGTTTCCGTGCTTCATTTGGTGGCTCATCAGTTTGTTGGATCTTTTGAACGCTTTATTGCATACCTCACATATGTAATATCTTTTATTGGCATGTATCATCTTATGGCGTTTCAGATTGCTTGAACTTCCGAATTCCTTACCACATACTTCACATTTGTACCGTTTTTGGTTTGCTTTATTGTCATCAGCCATAGTACCTATTCCGTCGTTATTTCTTATTTCTGCTTTAAATGATAAATAATAATATTAATTGGCATCATAAGCACTAACTATAACAATGAGTACTATTAATTATAAGCACTATAGTGTACATAAAATATTGCTTTTCGATGAAATTAGGCTTATTAAACTTCGGCAATAAAATATTTGAGTATAGTCTGTTTCATATTTTTACGCCTTCAAATGATTCGGTTCTTTTGTTTTGTGATTTTATTATTTTTCACATTTCAAAAATCATAATGAAGAAAACCAATCAGAAGAAAGTGATGCAAAAGGCAAAAAATGTGTTGTTTGCAAAGTTTTTAATCTTAGCTAAGAACAAAAACAGCTGCTTTCTGCAAAGCAAATTCTTCATTTTGTATCTTTCTCCCTGTAACTTCTGAACAAACAATGTTTTGCGATCACATCACATAGCAATTAATAAAGCGAAACGCAAAAAATTTGCACGTTGAATCAACGAATCATTTTTATTGCATCGATCGCTCTGTTAATTCCTTCTGTTTCAAATCAACAGCATAGTTTAGCTGTTAGATTGACATAGAAGGATTGACAGACGGATTGGAAAACATGATCCTTTGTTTCAAATTATTAATGCAATTCGGTATTTTTAAAATATGGAAGTAACTTGTTGCCACTCAAAGATTCTACAGTGATATTAGCATAATTTTTACGATCCCTACTGTTCAAAAATCACAGAGAAACAAAAATCATTTTGAATATATTATTTCAGATATCAAATGAAGGCAATCAGCCAATGCAAGCACGATTAGGAAATGACGGCGAAATAAGGACAGTGAATAATAATTGTAAAATAAACGAAAAGCTGTTCAAATGTGACGAATGTGATAAGCAATTTCGTCGTGCAAGCAATTTGAAACACCATAAGATGATACATACCGATGAAGAAAAATTACAAATTTGAGATATGCAATAAAGTATTCAAACGGCTAGCAATGTGAAGATTCACGAAATGATGCACAAGGAAGAATGACCATTCGAATGTAAAATGTGCAATAAAACTTTCAAACAGCGCCACCATTTAGAAGACCATATGACGACACATACGTACGAGAAGACACAGAAATGCAAGGTATGCGGAAAAGGATTCAAGCACATTAAAAGTCTGCATAAGCACAAATTCACGCACGGAAACGTACAATTCGAATGTAATGAATGTGGTGGGAATTTCACTCAGAAATGCAATTTGAATCGACACATGAAGTTGCATAAAAATTTGGGTGGAAAGCCCTATTCTACAGTAAGCTCCTTAATGATATGGATGGAGAAATATTTATAAAGGAAATACATTCGCAGGACTATAAATTATTGTATTATATTGGTTTAAATTATATTTGTACATTATTTCTACCACTTGTGCTTTGTTCACCGAAAGATGAAATTGAATGGAAGATTTCGATTTATAATTTGATGGAATTTATTGCATTCATTTTTTCACATTACTTTTCATATATTGTTTAAATCCATCATGCCAGCCTTGTTCTCTTCATTATCAATTTCGTCTAATCGTTTACCACAGTTCCTTATCTACAACTTTTCCATTGGTAATTACTGACCATTCCGCTACTTTCTCTCAGCTAGTTATAGGAGAAACCCTAACAAAGTTTGCTTTGCTGGTACTCATCTTTACGAAATTTCTCCTGGAAATTTTAACAAGAATTTATTTAGCATATTGAAATTAATCCTGAAAATATTCAGCAATTATAGTATCTGTCAACAATTCACTTTATCGATAACGAAATGATATAATTTCTTTTTCTTTCTTTATATTCTTATTCGATTAATAAGTTTAAAATAATATTAAAACTGCTAACAAATAAATCAAGCAATTATTCAAAAATTTTGCCATCTCAACGTTATCAATTATCATTGCTATAAAATGTGTTTATATGTTTTCCGAAATTTAATTTTAGTGCAATAGAAAAATATTATTGCTTACTTAATAATAGTAGTAAATATCAAAACTACGTATAGTAATTGCAGTAGTTTTATTTCGTTTATTGTGTCGAAGATACATTCAGCCTCTGCTTTTCAAAAGAAGTTTCAAAACTTCCATCAGAATTTTATTCAAAATCTTCAAAATTTAAAATTCTACAAAATTCAAATTTTTACATTCAATCAAGAAATAGTGAACAAAGCACAACGGTATAATAAAATAGTATAAATATAATTTAAGCCAACATAATACAATAATTTATAGTCCTGCGAATGTAATTATTTCCATAATAAATATTTCTGTGTCAATGATATCATCTGCTATCGATATCATTAAAGAGCTTAGTACAGAATAGAGCTTTTCACTTGAACTTTTATGCATTTTCATGTGTCTATTCAAACTAACTTTCTGAGTGAAATTCCTACCACATTCTTTGCATTGGAATCGTACGTTTCCGTGCGTGAATTTGTGTCTCTGCAGACTTCTTATGTGTTTGAATTCTTTACCGCATACATTGCATTTCTGTGTCTTCTCGTCCGTATGTGTCACCATGTGAGCACTCAGACAGTAGCGATATTTGAAACCTTTATCGCACGTGTTGCATTTGAATGGTCGTTTTTCCTCGTGGACTAAGTTATGTCTCGTCAGAATTGAAGGCGCATTGAATACTTTACTACATATCTTACATTTGTATGCATCATCATCTTCGGTATGCATCATCACCTTAGGGCGCTTCAGATTGCCTGCACAACTAAATTCCTTACCACATTCGATATATTTAAACCATTTCTTGTTTGTTTTACTACCATTAGCTATGGTTCTTATTTTGCCATCATTTCTTAATCCTAGTTGTACTGGCTGATCGTTTTCATTTGACACCTGAAATAATCCAAAATAATTTGTCCATTAATTTAATTCTTGTTCTCCTGTGATTTTTCAATAATAATCAGAGGTACTGTGCAGATATCGCTGTAAAATCTTTAAAAGAAAACAATTCACATCTACATTTTATAAATAGCCCGACGAAATGCAACAATAATTTAAAGCTGCGCTATATTGTGCTGTTGATTTGAGACAGAAGAATTAACAGACCGATTCGATGATTCAACGTGCAAGTTTTTTGCGTTTCGCCTTATTATTTGCTATGCGATATGATCGCAAAACATTGACTATTTAGAAGTAACAGGGAGAAAGATACGAAATGAAAAGGTTAATTTTCCTTCACAGAAAGCAGCTGTTATTGTTCCTATACTGAGAGACAATATCTTATTTACATACCGTAACTTGAGCGATGTACAACGGCAAAACGAGCACTACCAAATAATATGACAGATGCATAATCGAGAAGTGATGGAATATGGAAATCGTCAAAGTCTATTCGAAAAATGTTTTTTGCAGACAACCAATCTAATGAAGTGATATTTGTCGCATTAACGGAGAGGACCGTTTTTATGCATTCCGGTAAGCCGTATGATCTGTGACCATATGTAATCACAAAAGCCTAATCTTTTCACATAATAATTTTTAAAATTTTTGGTTTGCCATAATGAATAATAATAGTTTCATAGGAATACGATTATATCTTTGCATCACAAATCAGAATTGTCACCAAATCTTTTCAATTTGGAATAGAATGAAATCATTCGAAGTGAATACGCAATAATCCAATATGTAATTGTCACCAAAAAACGATGAAACATTGCTATTATAAAAATTTGAAGCCTGGAATTATTTGAAATTATTAAAATTCAAATTAATTGTCATTAATATTTTTAATCATTTTTCGCACATATCCTCAGCACCACAAAACAGATTTTCAAGGCGTTGAACGATCCATTGGATTAAATTATATCGATTAAAATATTTGTATTGTTATTGATTTTCGAATAATCGAAACAATAACTGAATACTTTTATATTAATTAATTAATTTGAAAATTTTACTTTCATTAATTTTTTATTAAGCTATAAGCACTATAATGTTCATGAAATATTGCTTTTCAATGAAATTAGGCTTTTTAAATTTCGGCAATAAAATATTTGAGCATAGTCTAATTCATATTTTTATGCCTTCAAATGATTCAGTCTCTTCTGTTCCGCCATTTTACTAATTGTCACATTTCGAAAGTTCGACTGATGAAAACGGATAATAAGGAAATGATATAAAAGATAACAATTTATGAACAATCCTTTGCTACAAATTCAGGAAAAAACGATTTTCTGCGATTATTTAATTCTAAAATGATCGAAATCAGATTTTTTGCTCTAAAATTTTTCAATTTAAAACCTCAAAATGAGTGATATTAATTTTCTTTTATCCGTAACGTACATTGAAATGTTCCAATGATTTCATTCTATTCCGAATTGAAAAGATTTGGTGACAAATTCTGAACTGTGATGCAAAGGTTATAATCGCATTCCTATGAAACTACTATTATTCAGTGTAGCAAACTAAAGATTTTAGAGTGAAGTGAAATCAAATTATGCGAAAAGATTAAGCATTTGTGATTACATATGACCATAGATCATACGGCTTACCGGAATGCATAAAAACGGTTCTCTCTATTAATGCGTTACAAATATCACTTCATTGTATTGGTTGTCTGCTAAAAACGATATCCCATCACTTCTCGATTATGCATCTGTTATATTATTTGGTAGTGTTCGTTTTGCCGTTGTACCTCGCTCAAGTAAAGGTATGTGAATAAGATATTGTCACTCAGTACAGAAATTAATATTCACAAAATTTCGTGTTTTAGCGAAAGGCAAAAACAGCTGCTTTCTGTGAAGGAAAATTAACCTTTTCATTTCTTATTTATTTTCTTGTTCTAAATAGTCAATGTTTTGCGATCATATCGCATAGTAAATAATAAAGCAAAATGCAAAAAACTTGCACGTTGAATCAACGAACCATATTTGTTACAACGATCGGTCTGTTAACCCTTCTGTCTCAAATTAACGGCACAGTATAGCAAAACTGACCTTTTGTTTCAAATTACTATTGCTATTCGGTATTTTAAAATATGGAAGCAACATGTTGCTATTCAAAGATTCTACAATGATATTAGCACAATTCTTCTGACTGTTGCTGTTCAATATCAGAGAAAACCGAGTTAAATCTATAAACAAATCATTTTGGATTATTTCAGGTATCAAAGGCAATCAGCCAGTGCAAGCAGGACTAGGAAATGATGGCAAAATAAAGGCGGTGGATAATGATTGCAATGAAAAGCGGTTCAAATGTGGCGAATGCGGTAAGCAATTTTGTCGTGCAGGCAATCTGAAACGCCATAAGATAATACATACCGATGAGATATATTACGTATGTAAGGTATGTAATAAAGCATTCAATATATATATCTTTTTGTTCCATTCAATTTCATCTTTCGGTGAACAAAGCGATAACGGCAGAAATAATGTACAAATATAATTTAAGCCAATATAATACAATAATTTATAGTCCTGCGAATGTAATTATTTCTGTTATTAATATGGAAATTCTGCAAACTTAATGAAATATTAAAATTTATATGAAAAAAGCCGTCATTGTAAGCATTGTACAATTGTGTTTGGAAGAATTCATCTTTGACCTCTTTGTTTGTGAATCTTTTGAGCATTGACAAAGTTAGCCAGGATTACAACATTAGATTATTGTATATGCTCTAATGAATGATTTCATTCTCTTCCGAGTTGAACTGATTTGGTGACAATCTGAACTGTGATGCCAGCCTATAATTGCATTACCATGGAACTATTATTATTCAATATGGCAAACAAAGGATTTTAGAATGTGGTGAAATCAAAATTATTATGCGAAAATTATTATGATTAGGCTTTTGTGATGATATTTGGTCATAGATCGTACGGCTTACCGGAATGCATAAAAACGATTCTCTCTGTTAATGCGTCAAATATCACTTTATTAGATTGGTTTCCTGCTAAAAATATTTTTCGAATACAATACGTCCGTCCCATAACTGATTTCCATGTCCCATATAACTTCTCGATTATGCATCTGTCATATTATTTGGTAGCGCTCGTTTTGCCGTTGTACGTCGCGCAAATAACTGTATGTGAATAAGATATTGCCTCTCATTATGGAAATTAAGTTTTTTAAATTTTAGCTAAGAACAAAAACGGCTGCTTTCTGCAAAGCAAACTCTTCATCTTGTATTTTCCCTGTTACTTCTATTTAGTCAATGTTTTACGATCATATCGCATAGCAAATAATAAAGGGAAACACAGAAAATTTGCACATTCAATCATCGAATCATTTTTGTTACATCGATCGGTCTGTTAATCTCTCTGTCTCAATTTGACAGCACAGTATTGCAAAACTGACCTTTTGTTTCAAGTTATTATTGCAGTTCAGTATTTTTAAAATATGGAAGTAACATGTTGCCATTCAAGGATTCTACAATGATATTAGCACAATTCCTCTGATTTTTACTGTTCAAAAATCACAGAAATACAATAATCAAATCTAAAAACAAAAATCATTTTGAATTATTTCAGGTATCAAACGAAAGCGAACAGCCAATACGAGCGGGACTAGAAAATGATGACAAAATAGGGATGGTGAATAATGATTGTAAAGCAAACGAAAAGCGGTTCAAATGTAGCGAATGCGGTAAGCAATTTAGTCATGCAGGCAATCTGAAACGCCATAAG